CTCGCGAAGGTGAGATGCAAGTCGTAGATAACCCAACGACTGCCTTTCAAGTTGTACATTGCGATCATTTCGGTCCACTTTCGGAAACTCGAGAAGGTTTCAAACACATACTTGTAATGGTGGACGCGTACACTAGATTCACATGGTTATTTCCAGCCAAATCAACCAGTGCCAAAGAAACGATCAAACATTTAACAAGTGTATTTAATGTCTTTGGATTTCCAGTCACGTTAGTATCTGATAGAAGAACTGCTTTTACAACCGATGAGTTTTCGAAATTTCTGACCGCCAGAAATACTTATCATCGTTTAATTGCTGTCGCAGCCCCGTGGAGCAACGAATTGGTAGAAAGGATTAATCGTTTTTTAAAAAGTCATCCCTTAAAAAGTGACTGGTGAACCGAAGACATGGAACTTACACGTTGACACTGTGCAATGTCTATGTCATTAATAACACGTATCACGTGTCGTTAAAATCGTCTCCGTGCAAAATGCTCCTTGGATATGATCAACGTGGTCATACTGATTCCGATTTAGTCAAGCATTTGAATCAATTGCTCAGGTAGATCTCGATTATGATAAGGAACGTGATACTACTCATAAGATAGCTTTAGAAATATCCGATAAGATTAGAAACTATAATAAAACCTATTATGACGATAGACACAAGAAGCCGACTAAATACAACGTTGGAGATTACGTTTTAATTTGAGACTCGGCATTAAAACCGGGTGAGAGTAAAAAGTTAAAACCTAGCTACAAAGGTCCGTATCTTGTGACTAAAGCCTTAAATAAAAATCGATATGTCGTCCAGGACATCCCCGGCTTCTATATTACTTCCCGTTTATACAATTCGATTTTATCTACAGATCGTATGAAGCCATGGATAAAAACCGATTACGCCGTAATTAATCTTTTGTATTGTCAAAAAATTATATATATATATATATATATATATCTATTTTATTGTATAAGCGTTTAGCCAAGTAAGCCTGATTGTTAACTCCTTTATAAGAGTGGAAAATTTAATTTAGTTTACCTGTGTATTACTCAATAAGACTGATTTTATTTTGCGTTGGGAAATAACATAACTTTTATTTTTGTAAAATAATGTTATTTGCGAGGTTTATGTTATTTTGTATTCGTACTTCGTTGTCATATTCGGATCGAATATCGTGCTAGAACGGCCGAAGCTGTAAGGTTAGAGCGAGGGAATGCGAATCCCTCCGCCGCATTCATGCGCGCGCATCATCTCCTTGCCTGTGATTGGCTGAGATCGAGAAAGAAGAAGAAAGAAGTTGCGTAGCGTGCGCTCAGAGATATTCGTCTTTCCGCCGTGTAAGAGTACGGTTTTCTTTTCCAATAGTTCTTCCGCGTACCAAAGTGTATAATCTGCGATAGTAAAGTTATTGAGTATTGGCTAAGTTCGTGTTACATCCTTCTCCCAACCCAATTACCGTATCCCCTCCGTTATTCGCTCGACCTGACACTACAATTCATTACTTATTTTTTTGCGTCTTTTCCGTTCCTACACGTGGATCAACGTACGGCAACGTGACTCAAGAATTAGTAATCATCACATCTTACAACAGAGATTATTTCAGATTAAGCAACGTTGATGGCGGTCATGGCTTGGATGGGTGACCGTTGCAGATATTAAGGTTGACAGACATAAAAATCCCCTCAAGAACATATATCATCGTGAATTTTTTTTTTAATTTATAATTGCTCTGTTTTTATTCTGATTTTATAAATGTTCATTTAATTGTAATTATTTTAATTATTTTTGTCCTATTTGGATATAATGTAAATGACAATCATAACCTTATTTCAAATTTACAGTACGGTAGCCGTATAGTGTACCAATAGTACGGTATACTGGTAATGTATA